GTGACACCAACTAAGGACATTCCCACATGCCTCACCCATGAAAAGCCACAAGTGTGACTGTCCCATCGGATGGCCTGGCACCAATCCTGGTCCTCAGGCAGCCCTGGCAGGCTCTCTTACCCACAGATAGGCCCCCCTTGATAGTGCCCGTGCCTGTCTGCAGACGGGGCTGTTGGGATGAGCTGTTAAAGTCTGTCGCAAGTGTGAGCTGGCAGTCAGGAAAATCAGTTCAGGACATCCTGGCTGGGGCTATTTTAGGCTCAGCATCAGTGGCTTAGTTTCCTTTGCAGAGTAAAAGCCCTATGTGGGGCTGCACATCCCACTGGTTTGGAAGGACTTCAGGGGATCTTAAGAAAAAAATGTGTTTGAAAAATACAGGATGTGTTCTACTGCTTAACCAGGAAGAAGTAAATATACCGGAGGCTTGATGGCTTGATGCCCTCTGTGTATGATCTGCCTCAAGACTGAGCAAGGGAAGGAGGGCCTTCCTGCCCGGCGCGTCTCCTTAGAACAGCTTTCCTAGAAGCTAACAAAATACAATCTCTCTTACAAACGACTGGATTTTCCTTGCACCCCAGGTAGAGCATCTTCTTGCCTGTGGTGCTGTGTTCCTCGCATCATATCCTATGGTTTCTGCCTCTCGGGAGCGCTGTATTCATATTCACTACCAGCCTGCAAGTGTTGAGGGACATTTATTCTGTGGTCTTCAACTGCCAACTTTAAAAAATGATACGGTGGTTGTGCAGGGTAACTGAGAAGTTGCAGTGAAGAAACTAGACCTTGGAAAGGTTTATCACGATTCCAATAAATCCCGCTGGGCTAATCCCATCCCAAGGGTGTGCAGAACTGAGGCGAAGAACAGGGGCTTTCAAGGCAGGGGCCAAGAAGACAACTAGAGACATGGAAAAATGGGAAAGGGGCCAGAAGTGCAGCGCTGAGTGCCATGTTCGCCAGAATTCGCAATTCCTCTCTCCAGTGAGATGTCAGGTAAATACATTTGTCAGGACTTCAGTTAGGACTTGTTTGGTTGCAAGAGACAGAAACCAAACTTAAAGTAGCTTAAGCAAAATAGGAGGGTTCACTGCTTCACAGGGATAATCTATCATCGGACCCAGCTTGGTCCAAGGCCCCATCTATGTTGTAAGGACTCTCTCTTTCCATCTCTCTCTCCACCTGTCAGCATGTGCCCCTCCTGGCTGGCATCCCATTCAGATGGTCTCAGCCTTCAGAATGACAAAAATAGGCAGCAACAGCTCCAGGCTTTTGTCCTCCCAGGTAAGCAACCGCAGTGAAGGACAGGAAAGGTCCTCCCTCCGTGCGCCAAGTCCCACAACCCAATCTCATGAGACCTGCTTGCAGAGCTAAGCACCCCCTACCTGCTGCAGAGTGAGGAGTCAGCCCCCTCAAACCTCATGGAAGGAGAGTGGGACAGGGCTGGCTGCCAGTGGAAAGTCAGAGTGGACTGTGGTGGGGGAAAGAGCCGCGGTCCACTGTGCTTCCCTTGGGCACAGCGGCCTTGGTGTGATACTTGTGAGTAGAGGGGTCAGGCAACGTCACCGCTTGGCCATCTAACAAGGCCTGGCAAAGGTCAAGGCAAAGAACAGGGGCTTTCAAAGCAGGTGCCAAACCCCGGGCCTCGCGCAGCCATCCCATGCAGCTCCCTGGCCCCCACACGGTCAGCCACAGTGCTCCTTCTGCCTCTGCAAAGCTCTCCAGCCTGTGCCCCCTTCCCATGCCCACCCCCGCCTCAGTCAGCCCATGGGTACCGGCATGAGCTTCCTCGGCTGCAGTGACAGCAACACCACCTCAGCCACTCAACACAACACGAGCACGCCTCCTTCAGCTCTCCTGGAATCCGAGCTGGCCTGTGACTTGCTTTGCCCAGCACGGCGTGGCAGGCTGGGTTTCCACTGGCAACCACAACAGTCAGTTTCCACTATACTGACTATAACCCTGTACTATAATTTTAATGAATGAGAAAGTTAACCATTAAAGAACTGGAGAAACTGGTGTCTGAGTATGACGGCTGGAATGTGAAAACAAAATTAAGACCCTGCCTGGGTTTTCTCAGACCCTAAAGTCTGATCAAATAATAATAGTATTTTTATATATGCACCCACTCAAGAGTAAGAAAATTTCCCAAACTCTAGAGAAAGCTTTCCAGACCCTACACCCTAATTAAAGATTAGATCTAGGGTGGGCGTGGCAGCTCAACCTGTAATCCCAGCACTTTGGGAGGCCGAGGTGCACGGATCTTCTGAGGTCAGGAGTTTGAGACCAGCCTGATCAACATGGAGAAAACTCATCTCTACTAAAAATACAAAAATTAGCCAGGTGCCTGTAATTCCAGCTACTCGGGAGGCTGAGGTAGGAGAATGGCTTAAGCCCAGGAAGCAGAGGTCGCAGGAAGCCAAGATCACGCCACTGCATTCCAACCTGGAGAGTCCATCCCAAAAAAATAAATAAATAAAGATGAGATATAGATTGAATGAAACACTTCTGTTTAGATATAGATTGAACTGGTTGGGCCAGATTACTGGTCTGGGTGGTGGTAGCTGATCCATCAAGTGCAGGGTCTGCAAAATGTCTCAAGCACTGATCTTATGTTTTACAATACTCATGTTAGCCCCAGGAGCGATTTGGGGAGGTTCAGACTCTCGGAGCCAGAGGGGTGGCCCCTAAACTGTAATTTCTAATCTTGTAGCTAATTTCTTAGTCCTGCAAAGGCAGACTGGTCCCCAGGCAAGAAGGGGGCCTTTTCAGGAAAGGGATGTTGTCAATTTTGTTTCAGAGGCAAACCATGAACTAAATTCCTTCCCAAAGTTAGTTCAGTCTATGCCCAGGAATAAACAAAAACAGCTTAAAACTTAGAAGCAAGATGGAGTCAGTTAGGTCTGATTTCTTTCACTGTCATAATTTTCTCAGTTATAATTTTGCAAAGGTGGATTCAGAAAGAATTAAGTTATTATCTTAGGAATTGAAATCCATAGAAGGGAGTGTCTGGGTTTAAATGAGAGATTGTAGAGACCAAGGTTCTTATTATGTGGTTGAAGCTCCAGGTAGCAGGATTCAGAGAAAATCGATGGTAAATGTCCCTTATCAGACCTAAAAAGGTGCCAGATTCTTAATCTGTCCTAGATCAGAAAAAGACCTGGAAAGAGAAGGGGATTCTCTAGAGAATGCAGACTTTCCCTAGAAGAGGTAGCGTGGCAGGGCCGTTTCAAAATATGTCAAAGAGGCCAGGTGCGGCGGCTCACGCCTGTCATCCAGCACGTTAGGGGGCTTAAAACCAACCATGATTGCTTGAGTCCAGGAGTTTGAAACCAACCTGGGCAACATAGCAAGACCCTGTCTCTATAAAAATAAATAAAGAAATAAAAATAAAATATGTCAAAGAAATCTATTTTTGGGGATAAAATACTTTGGTTTCTTCCAGGGCCTGCCATCTGTCGTGTGACGCAATACTAGAGTTATGTTGGAATTTGGTATCTTATTGCTACAGTCTATCAGTCTTAAGATCTGTGTTTTAATGTGAATGCTGGTCAGCGGTGCCTGAATTCCAAAGGGAGGAGGGCATAAAGTGGCATATCTGACCTCCGCCTCATGACCTGAACTAGTTTTTCAGGTTGACTTTGGAATTTCCTTGGCTGAGAAGAGAGATCCATTTAGTTGGTTGTGGGGCTTTTAATTTTATTTTTGGTGCACACAGGAGACAGGGCACACCCGATTGGTTGGGATGCATGGGAATGGGTGGGTGAGGTGTGAACAAGAGCCTTTCTTGTGCCTTTTGTAGGAAGGTGTAGGCTGGACAGTGAATAACTACAGCATGCTGTGGGCATAGCGGCTGTCCCTAGCTGTCTGGTACCCTGTCCTGAGATGATAAGGGCAGGTGAATGTTTGGGGTGGGGCCCAGATCGTGAGAGCCAATGAACAAGGTGGTTGGGGTAGGGGTGCTGGATGAGTTCCTTTTAATAAGAAGGCACACCCTGGGTGAGTAGTTTACCATCTCCAGGAATTGGTCAGCCCTGGGAGAGGCTGTCTCCCCAGGGTCAGTGAGACCCTGGGTGCCGAAGCATCAGAGAGACGTGAGACAAACAGCTCCTCTCCTCCCTGTGACATGGAGACACGTAGGCAACCAGGGCAGAGCCTTTCCTGGGGCTACTGAATATGCCAAATCTGGTTAATCAAGAGACATCCCAGGAGGACTCCATTATGCCCTGCACATAAAAGGCAACACTGCAGCATGTCACTAAAGACATCTCCATCTCTGTGCTGCTACCCGGCATTGTGAGGACCACGTACTCACCAGGTGTGGGGCCGACGCTCAGACACGCAATGGTGACGCACAGACACGCAATGGTGACGCACAGACACGCAATACCGTCACAGCTTTCACAGCTTCTCTACATGCCTTGGTTTTAGGCAAATCAGAACGGAGTTGCAGAAGAATAGTGCAGGCGTAAGCCACAGATAATTAAAAAGTGAGCAGGTCTTGAACACTATAGTGCATTATTGCTATACAATTTCTAGGGGGGAAATACCCAAAACTACTTTCAGCCAGGGTGTCTGACCTTTTCACCTACTTGGTGTGAACCCAAAATATCTGAGACAGGTCTCAGTCAATTGAGAAACTTTATTTTGCCAAAGTTAAGGAAATGCCTATGACACAGCCTTGGAAGGGCCTGCAACATGTGCCCAAGGGGGTCCGGGTACAATTTGCTTTATACATTTTAGAGAGATATAATACATCAATCAATATATATAAGATTGATATTGATTCGATCTGGGTGGGACAACTTGAAATGGGGAGGGGGAGCTTTGAATTTTATTTTTGGTTTACATAGGATTGCTTTTCTTTATTTTTTTCGCATGGGTCCTGTGGGATCTGTGATGAATATTAAGTATTTTATGCTCCAATTTTCTTATAAATCAAGGACATGAATATCCGTTGATCTCAGCTTCTGTTCATTAGTGATAAACAGTGTTTCCATGGTGACTCTGTTTAATTCTAGCCAAAAGCAAAGGAACATGATGTGTTGGTCAGCCTGTGCAGCATCACTGCAGGCTGCTGGGTGACAGTTCACAAACTTTTGCGATATGCTAAAAACAGGCCATGAAACCCGGTGGACTCACCCTGTTACCAGTAGAAGGTGTCGGAGCTACTGGCAGTGAATCCACACACATCTGTACCAACCTCAGTTCTTGCCTCCTCAGAAGAAAGAATTTGACTGAGGGGCTCAAGGCAGAAAAAAAGAGACCGAGGGAAGTTCCAGAGCAGGAAAGTAAGTACACTTACTTGGAAGAGTCTCAAGCCGGCAACTTGAAGAGCAAGTGTGACGTTTAACCTTGATCCGAGGACACTGTAGGCTGCCCCCTCTGGCACCTTACAGCCCTTTCCCATAATTCTTCCCTTAGGGTGGGCTGCCCACCTGTACAGCGCTGTCCTTACGCCTGGGAACTGAGCATGCGCAGTGAGCTTAGGACGTCGTACGCGGCCAGCTCCCTTTTCCCGTGGAGGCCCCGGAAGGTCGTGCTCCACCATTTTGTCTCTTAACGTGCATGCGTGAGCTCAAGTAGGCCAATACCTGAGATTTTATTGGAAGCCCTTTTTACTTCTCCCTGGTACCTGCATTAAATTAACACTTTAATGTTAACAGCTGTGGATCTTCAGGAGATTGTCTCTCCCTGGGGCCGGCTGCTGAATTACCACTTTTAGAAGGGCTGTGTGACCACCTGACATTTCTCCTGGGTATGGGAGAGCCGTCTCCTGTCCTGCTCATGCCTGTCTAACTGCCTGCAACAGACCCCAGTGACACCCGAGAGTCAGGATGTGTGCTTTGGAACAATACCATCTGCCAGTTCCATCAGAGTAAAGATAACTGCACAATGTAACCGCCCAGTGGGCTCTTCTTGCCTGTTGCCCAGAGAGAGCTGATTTATTAAGGCAGAGGAATTGCAATGGAGAGTTTAATTCGCACAGAGCCAGCTGAAGGGGAGACTGGACTCATTATTACTCAAATCAGTCTCCCCAAGAATTGAGGGGCTAGGGTTTTTCAGAGGTAGTTTGTGGAAAGGGGGGGTTGTCTAGGCAATGGGTGCTTGCTGCCCATTGGTTGGGGGTACAATCAGAGGGTTATGGGAAATGGTCCTCATGTGAGCTGAGTCTTTTCTGGGTAAGGCCACAGGAACATGTGGGAGATCCAGGTGGAGCCCTCATCAGTGTGAGACATGCAGAAAACCTGAAAAGACATCTCAGAAGGCCAGTCTTACATTCACAGTAGTGATATTATCTGCAGGAATAATCAGGGAAGTTGCATATTTTGTAACCTCTGGAATAATGGCTGGCAACTGTTTATGTCTACACCTTAGCCAAATTCAGGTTCCTCTATCCTCCTAGCCTGGTGGTCTATCCTTAGCTTTACAAAGGTGGTTGAATTTGGGGGAAAGGCTATTATCATTTAAACTATAAACTAAATATCTCCCAATCCAAGCCCAGGAATAATTAAGGGCAGTTGAAGGCTAAAGCAAAAGGGGGATTGGCCAGATCAGATCTCCCCCCGCCCCGCTGCCATCATTTTCTCACTGATAAAAATTTTTGCAAAGGCAATTACAATAAGGACAATAGTAATATCCTTACATGTTCCACATACCATCACACGCATTTTCTGTGCATTGCTTCAGTTAATTTTCATATCAATCTTACGAAACAGGATCCTAGAGGGGAAAGCCAAGGTCCTGCCGAATGGAAAGCCAGGACGAGATCTTAGTCCTTCCAGACTTCAAAGCCTGTGCTCAGAAGGCACTCTAAATCGCAGGGTCAACTAGGAGATCAGCACAAGATACACATCATAACGACCTTGCTGATAAAACAGAGTGCAGTAAGGAAGCCGCTAAAACCCACCAAAACAAAGATGGCCACGAATGTGACCCTGGTAGTCCTCACTGCTACACTCCCATGTAGCAGTGCCATGACGGTTTATAAATGCCATGGCAGTCAGGAGGTTACCCTTTATGGTCTAAAAAAGGGTGGGGGGGTATGAATAATCCACCCCTTGTTTAACATATGATGAAGAAATAACCATAAAAATGGGCAACCAGCAGCCCTCGGGGCTGCTCCGCCTACGGAGTAGCCATTCTTCATTCCTTTACTTTCCGAATAAATTGGCTTTCTATGGACTTGCCCTGAATTCTTTCTTGCGCAAGATCCAAGAACCCTCTCTTTGGGTGTGGATAGGGGCCCCTTCCTCTAACATTCCTAGTGTGTACACGGCCGCCTTCTTGCTGTGTCCTCACATGGCCTCTTCTCTGTGCACCTGCAGAGTGAGAGCACTCTGGTGCCTCTTCCCCTACTTCTTTTTTTTTTTTTTTTTTTTTTTTCTTTTTTGAGACAAAGTTTCGCTCTTGTTACCCAGGCTGGAGTGCAATCTTGGCTCACTACAACCTCCGCCTCCTGGGTTCAGGCAATTCTCCTGCCTCAGCCTCCCAAGTAGCTGGGATTATAGGCACGCGCCACCATGCCCAGCTAATTTTTTGTATTTTTAGTAGAGACAGGGTTTCACCATGTTGACCAGGATGGTCTCGATCTCTCGACCTTGTGATCCACCCGTCTCGGCCTCCCAAAGTGCTGGGATTACAGGCTTGAGCCACCGCGCCCGGCCTCTTCCCCTACTTCTAAGGACACCAGTCCAGTGGATTAAGACCTTGCCCTTAGGACATCTTTTAAACTTTTTTTTTTTTTTTTTTTTGAGACAATGTTCCACTCTGTCGCCGAGGCTGGAGTGGAGTGGCATGATCTCGGCTCACTGCAACCTCCACCTCCTGAGTTCAAGTGATTCTCCTACCTCAGTCTCCTGAGTAGCTGGGACTATGGGCACCTGCCACCATGTCAGGCTAATTTTTGTATTTTTGGTAGAGACGGGGTTTCACCATGTTGGCCAGGCTGGTCTTGAACTCCTGACCTCAACTGATTCACCCAATTCAGCCTCCCAAAGTGCTGGGATTACAGGTGTGAGCCACCTGTAAATGAGGCCCTGGCCTCATTTAACCTTAATTACCTTCTTACAGGCTCTGTTTCCTAACGCAGTCACACTGGTGTGTAGGGCTTCAACCTGTGAATTTTGAGGGTTCACAATTCAGTCTATTCCAAAAGTCCTTGCAGTTTGTGTGGATCCACTTGGAGGCTGCTGCTAGGGAAGTAGATGAGGCAGCCTGGCTGTGCTATTCTCCCCAGAGTCACACACACCTCACAGGTCCAGGCATCTTGTCCCTTGGCTTATCCGTGTGGAATAAGGTGGTTTTCTCATTATTAGCCAGATTTTCCTGGGATAGCCTTATTTGCTCTTCCAGAAAAAGTTTGCAAGCAGAAATGTCCTCAGCATCGAGGAGTGTGGTCACATGTTAAAAACGTCAGAGCTTGATTCAGGCAGCTCTGAATTCAAGGGTTGGTTCAGTTGCCTACAGGCCACGTGACCTTGGGTAAGTCACGCCATCTAGCTGAGCTTCACTGTTTCCATGTCAAGATGCCCCTCCCAGGGTTGTTGTGGCAGAGGTGTAGACGAGGCAGCTCTATAATGCACGTGACCCTAAAAAGGATTCAGAAAACATTAGGCATGTGCTGGGCTATTGGTTGTACCACTGGTCCTTGATTTAAATGCTGGGTCAGAGCTCAAAGCTTCTCCCACTTGGCCACAGGCTTAGATAAAGCCCAACAGCATCTGTGGGGCCATCTTTTTAGGGTCCCCAAGGCGTTGCTACAAATGGAACCACTGCCCATTTTGCAGACCTTTTGTTGTCAACATTGTATTAAGTTAAAGCCGCATTCATCCTCCAGGACCTGCCGGGCGGTAGACAAAGTCCGCATCTCCTAAAAGGCAGGCCCTGATCCGGCTGGACTGGTCTGAGAGCTAGCACTGACCCCAGGTTAAGAACAGAAGGTCCCACTGCTGCCCTGAGAGGCTCAAAACTGGCCATTTCCATCTCTGGGTTCCGTGTCATCATCTCTAAGGTGGCGTTGGGGCCTTTGGTTCCCCTGGGGGAATGAGGGTTCCGTGTGTTGCCTAAAACACTGTCCCCACTCCCTTGATCTGAGCGCAGATCGGGGAGCCAACTGACTGATCAATTCCAGCTTCACTTTCCCACTGCCCAGGTTAGACCCCAGAGAAGAGCGGGACCAGGAGGCGGGCTGGCAGGCAGGATGGGCACTGGCGCATGGAAGACAGTACTGCCCAGCAAAAGAGGTGCCCCTTCGGGATCCACCAGCCTCTGATGGAATCTAAGCTCTACTTTTTTAAACTTATCCCCCTGTGGGCATGCTCCAATCCTGAAGATACTGCAATATCTGTCAATGTGTGAAGTAGACTCAGCAAGCTCCGATCTCATCTTCCTCCAAAAATTCATTGGATATTGTCCTCTAGTAGAGGATGTATTGATACAGGAGCTAAAAAGAAATTATTTAGGCAGTTAGTGAGGGTAAGAGAGCCCTCGGTAAGGTTTCCCTTTTAATAAAAAGCAGCCCCCAAATCATTTCTTTTCTAACAAAGAGCAGCCCCAAAAAACCAAGCTGCAGACACAGAAAAGCAAGCTAGAAGCTTTCATGGGTGAATGCTGGCAGCTGTGCCATAAGAAAAGGCTAGCTGGGGACCAGGCATGTTCATCATGGAGGCTCCATCTTCTCTTTTTTTGTCAGCCACAAGTTCAGTAAAAGAACAGGCAACATGGCACCAGCCAGGTAGAGAACCCCTCTGTATAATAAAATATTAGGATCGCGCAGCCAGCTTTGTGCTATGTAAATGGCACACCTGCTCCAACCAATCTTTGGGCCCTATGTAAATCAGACACCACCTCCTCAAGCTGGTCTGTAAAACCCCCGCGCATTTCGGCACGAAACAGGAAGACCCACTCAGGAGCCTCTCTCTCTGCAGGAGAGAATGTTTTTCTCTTTTCTCTTTCTCTCACCTATTAAACCTCCACTCTTAAACTCACTACTGTGTGTCTCTGTCCTTGATTTCCTCGGTGTGAGATGATGAACCTCGGGTATTTACCCCAGACGACGACGACACTGCAGCATCAGATGTTAAACTGATAACAGATGCTACACTTGATCTTAGCCAAAAAGCCCAGAAGCTATCGAGCTCTCCTTCCTGCTCTGTGTACCTGGGTGAGTGCCTGGGTTTCTGTAGGCCTCAGTTTTCCTTGTCTGTAAATTGGGCACAGTACCACATTTTCTGCATTATCATAGGAGTAGATGGTCCATGCAGAGCACATGGTTAAATTAATATGTAGCTCTTAACAAGTGGTAATTATTATTATTATCTCTGCCATCATGATGTTACTTACAGTTCTCCCAGAGACGGCTGCAGGTGTGAAGAGAACTAGAGCTCAGTCCCTGGAATGCTGCAAAATTGCAGGCTGTGGAGGAGGAGGTCTGAGCACACCTGAGAACATGGCTCCTATGAGCTGGCATCTCCCAGCATATGATGGTGGGGTCCTTCCCCACACAGAATCCCCTCCTCGAAATTCCTGGTCACAGACATAGAACAGGCCAGCAAGGCAGGCATGCTGGCCAGGCAGTGTTTTTCCTTTTGCAGTCAGCATATTTGCCTCGGGAAGAGGGGACTCTTTAGCACCCTGATGTCCCTCGGTTTGTCCCTCACTGGAGAGCAAGCAGGTGTGATTGAGGTTACTGGGGGAGGATGGAGACTGGGAGAAAGAACGTTTCTCATACACATGTCTTCCTAACTTCTGCTGGACTTCACAAGTGTTCCTTTAACTCCGCCACATTTAAAAGGCTCCTTCCTAATGGCACCTCTGAGGCCCTGAGCCTGGGTTGTCAGCTAGGACAGGGAGCCGACCACAACGTGGCAGCCAGAAACAGGCTGACTGGTGGCCGCTTCTTGCTCATCTGTGGAAGGGGAAAAGCAAAGCAAGGATGAGGCATGGTGGGGAAACCCTGGTCAAAATTCACTCGCCCCAAATAGTCCCCTTAAAGGGCAGCTGCCTGGACAGGGGTGACCTGACTGGCTTGGCCTGGATTGAGGAACCAATCTCTGGCCAGCAGCCTGGGTCCGCAGGATGATGAAACTGATTGGAGTCCTCCCTAAGACGGGGTTCTGTTGGGAAGGAGGAAGCAGATGGAACGTGAGCAGGTGGCTGAAAGTGTCCACGATGCCATCATGGAAATTTTAAATCTAAAGGGAGTTGCTTTCACCTGATGGCTGAGCAGAAGCATGTGTGGCAAAGCATGTATAGCCAGAAAAGACCCTTGTTACAAGGCTGGCCTGTGCCTCAGAGAGGGATGTCAGTTCAGGTTCTTTGCCCCCAGAGTGGAGAATGCAATGTCAGAGCTGGGGAGTGGCCTGGCAGGCTAAGGGGGGCAGCTCATGGACAAGGATCATTGTCATCACCCATAGCTCTGAGACACACAGGATCTCTGCTCTGCCAGGAGGGGCAGGGGAATCAGCTGTGTCCTGGGCCACCCCCTCTCCCTGTCTCATTCTCTAGTCCAGCCTTTCACCCCTATTGCTC